AAAGTGCTGGGATTACAGGCGTGAGCCACTGTGCCTGGCCTTTTGGATGGTTTTTGTTTGCGATTATGAGATCCTAATGAACTAATCTTTAGTTAGATAGATTTCTAAATCTAACTGGTAAGTTTTGATACATAGGAAAGCTATTGATTTCTGAACATTAATCACATATCCTAGTATTTTAAGGAATTCTCATTACATCATCTGTAGTTTTGCAATTGACTACAAACAATACTTATGTTGCCAGTTTTCCAATATTATATCTTATTACTATTTTGTGTTTTGCTGTGCTGTCTGAAACTTTACAGTAGTAAAGGGCTTCAAGGCATCTTTTTTTCTTCCAGATTTAAATGTAAATGTGTCAATTTGCTGTTTTTCTACTGTTTGAGATAGTATTTTTAACAATATTGCAGAACTACCCTTCTATTTCTGTCTACTTTGTCTTTATGAAATCTTTTCGGGATCTATAGTTTCCCATCTATATTGATAAGTAAGGCTGGGCTTCAGCAGTAGTAGACCATCAAAACTCTTCCTGTTCTTCACCCTGTCCCCAGCCCCCATAAACATATTAATAAGTTTGGTCAAAAACATGCTGAAGGCTATGACCAACCAGATCAATAACATAATGATCATATTATTCTCATTTATGAAAGTTTGTGAATCAACCCTTCTGCTTCTACCTTCATATATTTGGATAAACCAGCTCCTGAGAGTGGAGAACACAGGGCTCTGAAAGTAGGAAAAGTGGTGGAACAAAGAAATCTTGATGAAGAGGGTAAGGCATGAGTAGTTCAGTGAATGAAGCTATAGTTTTGCTTGTCGTCTTGAAACATAGCGGCCACACCTAAAGAACAGCTGAAGACCCTCCTGGGTTTGTCCTCTTAAGCAGACATGTGCCTCACATGCCATCTGCAACTTCCAGGGCTTTCTGTAGTGAGAGGAGAATAGAATTTTGCTCCCCGGACTGTAAACAACATTGTGGGGAAGGATAGCGGGGGTGCACCTGGAGGCAGGCTTGGGAGTAGGGACTCAGGCTAGGAGTGTATATGCTTGTGCCTGACCTTGAGGCTAGAAGTGCATTTCCTAATGTGTTCTGCAGAGCCCTGATCCCAGAAGGCTCTGTGAAGAAACAGGTTCCATGTTCAAAGTTTGTGAAATGTTATCTAATCTGTCTCCCTGTTAAGGAATCCCAATGACAGATGCTTCTCAACGAGTAAACTCATCACCTGTTTAACTGTTACCAAAGGCTATTTGTTTATAGAGCTATTTACTTAGAACCCCTCCTAACATTCCTAGAAATTCGTGGTTCATGATAAAACATGTTGGGAAACACATGACTGACAGTCACGACAACGAAGACAAACCATCAGCTATCTCCTCCTGAGCATCGTGTACCAGGTAGTGTTGTAAGCACTGAGCCATGGTGCTGAGCAAGACAGACACGGCTCCTGACACCACAGTGC